CGGTTATTCCACAGAGAGACCTTGCTGTGTTTAGTCTTTCCCAGTGAAGCTCTACCTGCTCCTTGCTCATCTCTGCAGAAGGCATTGCTCCTACCAAATTTACCTGTCATAGATCTTTGTACTCCCACGTTCCCCTGTGGAATTACATAGGTAGATTCACAACCAGATCTTCAATATATTAAACCCAGTATAGCCATTTAAGGTTTTAGGTCTTAAAAATCCTAAGCCATCGAATGAATAGGGAAGGTGGTTTGGGGACCCGGTACAGTAACTCTGAAGTTCAGGTCCATGCAGCAGCCACACAGCAAATCTGTTGTTATTAAAAAAAAAAAAACATTTCTGGCAAACAGATCCTGCTATCCCCATGATGCACACAACAGTTACTGGGTTGTGTGCTTGGAGAAAGAATTTTCCTTTAATGATCATTTAATGATCAAACATCAACTTAAACTAGGGCTCCCTTCCAGCCTGCTGCCTACAGTAAGCTATGGCTGGTCTCTGCCATTTTCTTAATTTACTTTTAACTTGCTCAAATATTTGAAGTTTGCTTGCATGCAAACAGTGGAATTCATCCTCTCTGCAAAAAAATAGATGGTTCATTTTCTTTTGTTTTACATATGGAATCAAACCTTGTGTATTTCATTTTTGGTATTAAGTGTCTGTGCCTATCATATGTCATTTGTCCTTATTTTCTATTTTTATGGAAAGATAAGGAAACTGGAAAAAAGGATTTCATTTCCTTTATTAACTTTAAAACATATTTGTAAGTGATTATATGTATACAGACTTTGAAAACCTGCACCCACAATCTGTTCTTAAATACGATTTATTTTCCTGTGCTCTTCACGAGAGCAGGTTTAATATACTATGGTTTCTCTGTATACAGCAGCTCACCTGTTCTTTGTTAGCAACCCAARCGCTGAGGCATTTTCTTTGGGGAAAGAAAATAGATGCATAAAATTTCACTGCCTTCAAAAAACTGCTGGAAGAACAGGCCAGACTTTGGCCAAGCTAGAAAAGGAAAGTCTTAGTTGAATCTCTAAGTCTGTATTTTAAACAAGAATAAATTATGGAATACTTAACACAAATTGGAGAGAGAAGAATGTGTTGCAGTCCCTTAAGCTCTGAAGACCTGTTGTTTTTGCTCCCCTTTTTTTTGCAGGCGTGGAAACAGCTAACCTTGCTGTATTTTTTTTTTGTAGTTGCCTTTGATGTATTGACCAAAGTTTGCAAACAGGACACAACTGGAACCAATAATCAGAATTCAAGTTATTTCATGTGTTTTTTCCCTCCTAGTTATCTAAGATTTAACCAATACTGTCAAGTAAAAGTAGTTTCCCCTAATTATCTAAAATTTGATGAGTACTGTAAGGAACAAAACTGTCTGATTAAAATTATGAAGGCTTTATGGGCATTAGTGTCCCCACAGATGGCACTTGACTAGCTGCAGGCTGAGCTATGATGCTTAACGCCAACCCAACATTTTTTCCCTTATTTAGCATCTCTTTAGGTATTCTGGCTGGCTGATCTGTGGTTGTCTTGTGGGAAACATCCAAGGTATGCAAGTTTTATGATTCTGACCCTCTAGGCCGGTTGCAAAGTTATTTCAAGGAGAGGAGCTGATCTGTTTGCAGAGARTAATAGGCGCATGCAGTGCTTGAAGGCAAATCCCCACCAGGTAGTTGCAGCTAGCATCCAAAGTAAGAGGAGAGGGGCTTCTAGGCCRACAAACTGCAGATTAAGCTCTGAAACACACAGAAACGCTCCCATAATGTCTGCACTGCTGAAAAGCTGGAAAAGGACATTTATGTTATGTGAGTGGCAGATGAAGTGTTTCTGTAGCAGCCTTAAAATCCATTTTTGAATTCCATCTATAATGTGTATGTTTCAATGTAAATATATGTAATTTCTCTATATCTCTCCTCACACAAAATATCAGTCAAGCTCAAAGGATTTTAAAGCCCTTTTGGCTCTGTATTACTTCCTAACACTAAGGTAGAGTGCGCCAAAGACTATTGCAATAGACAAACAGGCTGATCAGAAGGACTCTGACGTTCTCAGCAGAGAGATTTGGGATATTGAAGTTGAAAATTGCCTAATCGTGGCAATCTACCCATCTGTTTCCTCTTCCTCAGAATCAGTTTTCTCCCAGATATCATCATTACCCTTCAGTTCTGTCAGCAGCTTCAGAGAAGAATGAGCTTAGCCCTGGGATATGATGTGCATGCAGAGGTCTGCCTGCCCTGGCTATCCAGGCTAAGATGAAAGGCCAGATTCTCGCCTATTTAGAGTAACCCTGTTGAAATCAAAGACACTAAACTACAGGAATAATGAAGTGGAGACAGTTGCCCTGAAATCTCACTTGTGATTCCTTCCTAGGAAGTACGGAAAAATATTACAGTCCCCCGTGCTCCTCCCTGCTCATCCCTCACAAGTGGAGTCTGAACTGAGAAACCAAAGCGAAAGAGCACTGGGATTATACTGTATGCTTTAATACTTTTTTTTTTTTATCCTATTAGTATGGTACTTAAATATGCTGGGGAGTTTACGGATGATTCAAATTATATACTTTAAGACTTTCTAGTATTCGCGAAGAAAATAGAATTTTTGACTGATGGAGTCCAGTTCTTTTCCCAGCTGTTTCTTGGCGACTTCTATTTAGTGGCAGTGTAATGGAGGTGGCTGAGGAACCTCCAASGGGTTTTTAATTTCCAAATGGGTGCTGAATTTCTGCTCACTAATAAATCACATATAGCAGTTCTGCAAGCAAGAAAAAAGCTGATGGTATCTAATTTTGCTCTTGTGTACTTTCCCCCACCCTCCGGGTTCATAGAGTTAATAGTTGTTTGAATCAGGTGTGGGCAGGTGGCTAGGCGCGTTAATAGGTGAGACTTGTTGTGTATATAAATTCCATTTTAATTGAGTGCATAGTGAGAGATGTATTGGGTCGGTATGATTTTTTCTCCAGGGTCTTGTTCTTGTGTTTCTGTTCTATGGCAGTACTTTTGGGCAAGAAAACTCATATAGATTTATTGCCTTTCTCTTTTCTGTTCAACCTTGCCTAATAAGACTGTTGCAGCAGCTGCAGCCTAGAAAATTASCCTGTGAACTCTGTATCCTTTTCTGTCTGTCTCAATCTCCCAAAGATCAGGCTAGTACAAAAACTTGGCTGTGAACCTATCACTCTCTTATTCTTCCAGTCCAGTACTGTTTTGGATGGGAGACAACTGAGGAAATGCAGTGGGAGTGGGGGTTCTCACCTCTCTTTGAGCTTGCAGTACATTTTCCTTCCTTCCTTTCTTCCTTCCTTTTTTCCTCCCTCCCTCCCTCCCTCCTAAGAGGACAGTGCTGTTTTCTTAGAGTGGCTTAATTATCTAATGGCAATAGTCCCTATTTGCACAAACTCATATTTTATTTCCACAGTTTACTTGTGGCAATAGAGGCATGAGAATTAATGGCTTCAGATTCAATGCAGTGATAAATATTGGCAGTACAGTGATTTACTGGCTGTCTACTAATGTTTTTAATTGATCTACAGATGTTTTATACACTTACTACCTGATCTTGAGCTTAGATACTATATTTTGGTTTCATGGCCACGTGTTCAGTATCGGTTTTCCAGTTGCTACAGTGCATAAAAWAAATTGCAGCCTTCTGTAAATGACTGGGACACACAGGTTTTATTATTCAGATGTCAGAACACCTCATATGGATATTCCTTTCTGCCTTATTTAGTTTAAAAAAAAATCTTCAAAGTCTTTTTTTTATGCATGTAGGTGCTAGGAGATTTGTCTGTGTCCCAGCTTGTATGCATGAGTTGGTCAGCAAGGTCATAATATAATTAACAAAAAATATTTGAAACTATTTTCTTATATCAGGTCTGCATTTCCCTTGTTAGGAGTTAATTAAAGTATTTTTATTGCTTTAAGATAACATGACAGATGAAAGAAGATTTTAATATTTTCTCTGCAGTTTTTGTCATCCCTAGAATGATGATTAAAAAAAAGGTAATTTTTATGCTAAATAATCACAGTAGAAACAAGTGATTATTTTTATTATCCTAAATATTTTTATTATCCTAAATATCTTTTTATTATATTATATTATATATAATATATATAATTATATTATATATATATATAAAATATATTTTTTATTATCCTAAATATAAGAGTTTGCCAGGAAGTATCTTATCTTCAGACAATAGGAAGGCATATTCCATGTAGAGAACAAACAGAAATCCTGTGCGTTTCCCGCTAATATTTCAGTGATTTGGAATTCATTTTCCTTGAGTTGCCACAGCTCGTGTTGATGTTGTATGGTTTACATCTGGCTACGCTGTCAGGTACGCTGAAGTGGCTGCTGAAATAACATGCTTGAGAACCTACTCAGCCAAGAGACACCATCTGCTCCTCTTGTGACTGACAACAATGAAATTTTCTTGCTTTGGAGCCAGCGGTGATCTCTCTCTCAATAACACCGTGCAATGCCAAAATCTTTCTGTGCCATGTCAGTAAGGCTGTGAAGGAGCCAAACTTCAGTGGAAATTTTGCTTCTGTCATTCCCCAAGCCCTTAGGAGATAGSCTATCCTGAAGAATATGAGCTTGACTGGGGAATAACAGAAACAGCCTATTTCTTGGACTACCAGTTGTTTAAGACATTGGTGACATTCACTGAAATAAATACCCAGTGTTGCATTTTTATTCTGTGGCTGGGTGAAAATAAATTTTAAGTTGTCATCAAAAGAGATGTTGTTGCTCCCTGTGTCCTTTCTACAATCCATGCCTCTTTGCAGGCTCCCAACATTTCACTTGCCCCAGCACAATGTTGTGGGGCTTCATTTGTGGGGACTTTTTCCACCTGATGTACCAGTTTCATCATGTAAACAAGCAGAAACTTAATTTTTTGTTTTATTTTGTCTATTTTTTGTTGTTTTAGAGGTACTTGCTGTGATATAAACTAGCATCTTAGCTTGCCGTGCGCTTTTCTCCCCGTGCAGATGAACCCGTAGCTGCTGTGATTAAAAAGAGATCACGGATGCGGATGGAGCTGCTGCAAAGCACTTCAAAGAGTCTCCCATTTTGAAGTGCATCTGGGTAAAGGGGAACAAAGGGAACTATGCTAATATTCAGTTATCTGCTCTGTTCATTGGTATTTATTTATTCTTTCCTTTAAGATGCATCTTGCAGCTGTGAGGAACTGAAGTGTGGACTTAGAAAGTAGAGAGAAACCAAATATATYCTCTAAATGGAGTATATAACTCTAAGCAGACTGCCAAGTCTGGCTTTTTCCTGTGCAGTGCTTTGTGTGTCTAATAAAATGTTGTATTTTGAGCAATATAGTGTTCTCAGCCTAAAACTTCCATACATGTCCAAGTATGTACCATGACAGGGAGTACTATGAACTCTGARTTTCATGAATATGTAAAACTACTTACAAAAAAATATCTGAAAGTAATCTGGAGTTATAGCTCTCAAAGTCGATAAAAGGGCATTTTACTGAGAGGCTTTGAACACCTGCAACATCTCTTTACCACAATCACTTGTGTCATTGTGTGTCCTCTACATCATTTACATTGGAAATAGGTTTGATCGTATGCAGGGGTGATGTCAGCAAGTCACAGTACTTGGTTTCATCAGCTAGCTGTAAGGAAGCTGGTAATCAAACTCAGGYCTAAGATTTCTCTTCCACTCTTTACCAGGTGGATGTACTATTTTTACACACAGTTTTGTCTTTTTCTTTATATTTTTGGCTGCATATTTGGTACTTCTGCCCCTTGAGACATAGTCATTGCTGATGGTATTATGCAGTCCTGCACTTGCGTTGTGTGATGGTGCTGGTACCTCGCTCCTGCTTTTACACTAGCATCTATCTCCGCAGCACAAGATGTGTGGAGTGCTACTGCATATCAGCTGCCTTGTCTACACGTTTGTCCTAATGAAATTTGGCTAAAGTGGGTGAAGTTGCTCCAGACTAAATGAAACTGCCACATGTTTTTGACAGTTCGGGTGACAGTCTAACATATCTCGCATGGCTCAGGAGAGCATGAACCATTACATTTACAAAATGTGAAAGAGGAACATATGCCAGAAGCTACTGTCCTTCAGGCTTTCGCATTATTTTCCCACTTTTCTTGAAATGCAAATAAAGTACAAGCCTTGAAAAATCAACCATGCACTGCTGTGGTTTGTCAGCTACTTTAAAAAAAAAAAAAAAAAAGGCAAAGCAAAAAAAAAAATAACCCACACAACTGATGGCATTTTACCCTTGAAAGAAAATCTGCTTATATGCAATATATGCAATTTTGATAGAGTGGGAGGAATTAGGAAGAAAAAACAACAAGTCAGCAGTGAGTGATGTTGGTGTAACATTCAGTGAAGGAGCTGCAAAACTGTTGAAGACGTTTTGGTATTTTTTTTTTTCAGCTGGGTTTTCACCTTAAAGTAAAGATTCCTCTATCTAATTGAATATCCCATATTATGAAAGAGTTGTAGCCCCTGTATAGCAAAATGTCAGTCCAAGGACAGAGCATCGCTCAGCATCCTCTTCAGTTCAAAACAAGAACTTAAAATCCTTGTAAGGTCAGTACAGCTATATGTCTTTAATGTAACAGTGGAGGATATGAGTCTCCTTGTAGGCTCCAGAGCTCACAACTGAAGTTGAGAGCAAATTTGTAATATGTTTGGAGCTGGCACTAGTCTGGAAAAGTGTGAATAAAAAAGGTATTCTGTCACATTGGAATTTTCTCCTCAAGACAGTAATATTCATCACCTTATATTCAGTAGTGTACTATGTCAAGTGTGACTAATTTTAAGTCACATGAGTGTGATCACTATCAGCTTTGTATTTTTAAGAATGTTTAATCTCTCTTTTTTTGTTGTTTTTATGTGAGATGATAAATTAATACRGAAACATGGTAAAACCAATTCTATGCAAATAAGCTACTATGCAAATGACATGCACAAGCTAAAAATGTATATACTGTGGTTTTAGTAAAGGGAAGTTTTGGATAAAATGGATAAAACAGTAATAAAAAAACTGCGTATCAGTCTCAGTGTAGTGTTACWAAGGGTAGAAGCCAGAGGTGGAGCAAAGAGCCCAGCTGCATTCACTGGGCTGATTGGCACTGTCCTCAGGTGCTGAGGACCTGGAGATGAACACCAGAAATATGCTATGGCAGCAGCAAGTAGGAAAACACAAATCAGCCTCTGAGAAATTCCCTCACGTACAGGGATGTGCACCAGGGAAAGCTACTATAAATAATAAATCTTCAACTCTGAGAATGTTGCTTTTCATTTACTTTTCTCTAACGTGAAACATAGCAATTTGTTTCTTTAAGACTTTAATTTCCCCTCCCCCATGTTCTTTGCCCTTGAGAAAAGCTCATAAATATTTCCATATTATTTCTTTCTTCCTTAAGTTGCTCCCTGTAAAGAGATGGGGAGAATTTGTTTATTCACTACRAATCCTCTCTCTCATCTGTTTTGTTCCTTTGGTCATGAATGTGAAGCAGCAATACAGGCTTGCTTTTATTATTCTGTTTGTTCTTCAATTTTCTTCCTTTTCCATGTTCATTCATTATGCTGTGTATTTCKTTTGCAAACTGTCTTCAGCACACTGACCATGTGAATTAGCATAGCATCTCTTGCAAAATAATTATATGTTTATTTGCATTTTGACATATATTTTGCATGATCATTACTTTATCTCTGACTATTGTCATAAAAGAATTTTCTCACCGATTCTCAGTCTGATTCTTCATGTGTGGGAGGTTGTCAGGAGACTCAGCTGAGAAGCAGGAACTCTTTCTGTGCCTGGCCCCTAGGATATTTGGCTGGGAGAAAGGCTCTGACCAAAAAGTTCTTCCTTTATTCAGTTCTTTCTAGCTTTAGGAAAGTTTATTTCTYCTTTATTACCTGCTTCCTTACTCAGGACTGTACCAAAACTTCAGTCACTCATCACCATCCAGCCTCCATCAGAACAAGGCTAAGACCAGAGACCCTGTTTAGCTGCCAGCTCTTCTCAGCTCTGCCTGATTTTGTATTTATCTCTAGCTTGAGATTGAGGCTTTAACCTGTCACCTTGACCAGCTCATCACTSCTGTGTCCAAAGGCAGCTGGGAGCAGCAGGAGGTTTTCAGCAGTTGCTTTTCAGCAATTAGTCCATCTGAGACAAAAAACAGAGGTGGATCATGAATGATCTGCTCTGCTGCATTAGTGATGTGGGCTAATTCACGTGCAGATGTCTACCTTCAACTTGATATAGCTACTGCAGTCATTGACAATTTACTAGGAACTTTCTTTCCTTATAGCCAAAATATGATAGTTTAAGTACCTAGTGCCTGTCTTATTTTCTACAGCATTGCAGTCGTCAGTTACCTCATTAAAAAAGTTACTAAATAACACAGGGAGCTTTACAAGTGTCCTTAACTTATTAAACAAATAGGAAACGTGCATTTGCTAGTATTTCAAAGGGCTATTGCATTCATGGACAAGATTCCAAAGTGAACACCAAAACTTCTAAATAAAGGGAATTACCTTCCCTAAAATAAGCAAACCCTTTCTCAGAATCTTTCTAAAATTATTTATTTCCSCCACTTTTAATCTCTGTTTTCTTCAGATAAAACAAGTTTTGCCTTGATCCAAAGCTCTTTGCAGACTGATCCAGTCTCTTTGGAGCTGGAATACCTTCTTGAAGAGCTTGTCATCTTCATCRTGAAAACCAGTTTTTATCTCATTCTTGGACTCCTTAAAAATATTCTTCTAGTTTTCAATGGACTCTGCCTGCTCTGTAGTCCAGACAACCCATCTTTACACATATTAGCTTCCAGATCATCTGTTTTTTCACTGCAGCTGCACTGAGAGACTCCCAGTTGCAAGTCTGAAGTCAGCTTTGTTCCCATCTTCACCTCTTTAAATTGCAAAGAAAGATTTTCACATCACATTTTTCGTTACAGAGTAGCGTCTTGACTTTTAATACAATTCATATTCACATAGTAAGTGTATGCAACTACAGAAAACAAGTATCTACCTGTGTTGAGAGGAAATGCAAAATGCTATGGAAATTCAAGGGATTTAAAAAAAAACACCTGATAGAAATATTCTTTTCTGGATGTATGTTTTTCTGTTTCCAAGTTAATTTGGTATTAATACAGGATTTCACTTCATCCTAAGACAAAAATAAAAATACTTAAGAATGAAGGTAGATGTAGGGCACATATGTTAAGTCCCTGGTGTTACAGAGTAACAAGTTGAACTTTTGGGTCTTGCTGTTGACCCAGTAATAGAAAACAGCTTTGCTACATGGATCCCTATTCACACTGAATTCCATGGTATGGAGTTAAGTCAAAGAGTAGCCTAAGCACCAAAGAGGATGCTTACTTTTATCTGTAGAAAAAAAATATAAATATATATTTATACACATATGTTGTGTAAGTTAAACTGAAAAAAATGTGACTTTTATGAAGAACTTTGCAATTATAGCAGGTAGTTTGCAGCAAAATTTCGTGTAATGAATGGATAACTCATAAAATATTTACTGCTTTTGATTATTAGTACAAAATTTTATTCTTCTGACATTTAAAGGCAAACTTCCTTAGAAGTTTGTATAGCTGAGACTTGTTGCAAAAGAGAAGGATTATTGTCTTTGGAATTGCATTGAGAAACCAGGGCTGCCTCTTTTACAACATCCTTGGTGTTCCTCCCTAGATGGCAGTCAGTCTACTGATGATCGAGCAGGGAGTTCAGTTCCTTAATGAGGCAAAAGATAGAGAGACTAATTTATAACTTAGAGAACAGAATATCATGAAAAAAGTGACAAAAGAGTAGGTTATTCTGGCTATAAGAAGAAAACTGTTGAAGAGGCAAAAGGCTACCCCTGAAAAGAAGGAAAATCTGTTGCATTTCTTACATACAAGCCTTGAGTTAGAATGGGCGCAGCAGTGCAAAGAGCTACTTTGAGCCTCCTCAGAGAGTACTGCAAAGTTGTCTTTGCACCTGAAAATGCATTATTTTCAGTAGCATTGCTGTGGCTCTAAAGAGGTGTTTGAATTGTGAGTGCAAACTGTATTAGAGTATTAGTTGGCATGGGCCAACAAGCTGTAGTTGGCTATTAGTCGGARTATGCTGAATATATTTGTTCTTCAAAGCACTCCTACAGAGCTGCACTGTATATATGTTAATTTTGGTGTCAAGTTCTCTCAATATCACAGTATCTTATTATATTTTTGGGGAGTGGAGTTAGCATAAGCACAACACTCAGTAGAGGGGAAGTGCCAAAGGAATCAAAGTAGCAGGAGGTGCTCCCAAAAGATAAAATATGTTCTTAACACCAGGCAGAATGTTGGTGAATTCCTGTGAAAACACACTCCATGGTTCRTTTTCCTCTTGAAAAAATGTGTTACTTTTTATACAAATCACTGCGTGCAAGCAACAGTTCATGRTTTCATGCCTTTAGCACTACCTCACAGATGACATTTTAAGGGATGGCAATAGATTCTTGYTCTCTATGAGTGACCCTGCTGTACATG